GATACGTATCATGTCGCCAACACGCAGCCCGACTCTAATTGCAGACGTGCTACGTCGGTTGTGGCCTGTAGGTGGCCTCACCTTGCTCCAGATACTCCAGACTGGACTTCTGCCTCTTCAGGATGGTGCACATGCGACCAAGAGCCGCTCTCTTCAGCTGTTTACACCGATACAGAGAGTCTCCGTATTTCATCAGACGCACGTAGTCTTTAGCAACGCTGCGGAGTCGGAGGAAACACAGTTAACACACAACTGTACCAGTACACCTGGTAACAACAACAACCAGCAGCGACCTGGTCCCTGCCTGGACTACTGTGAGACAGCACTGTTGGTCCACTGACGCCTCCGTCACCAAGTCCACAGCTGTTAGTTTGTCACTTTAGTTTGAGATTCTTTACTTTAGGCTGACTGTAGTGATACGCACTGACCACAGGAGGCAGCGGTGGACCAGCAGCTACTGTTTCTCTGTCAACTTAAATCACAGAAAAGGTGAGACGGTCTTACTTGTCAATCAGATTCTTGGCAATGTTTATCTGACCCAGGGCTAGCTTGTAGTGATCTTTATCGTACAAAACATTCATCAGGTCAGCGTAAAACGGATGGATGTCCTGAGGAGGCAAAAACAAACGGCGTTGTCAGACAAAAAGAAAAAACATTCCTGATAATAAGTCAGTCAGTATGGATGTATTTTCAGACTCACGTCAAGTTTGGGGAAGTCGGCGAGGATCTGCGTGAGGCGGTCGTGGTAGTTCTGCTGCGTGAACTTCACCTTTCGCATGTAGAAGTGTCGGATGCGATGAATCTGGTAATGTTTGTGTATCACCGTGGGCGTCTTCCTTTGTGTCTTGGACAAAGTGATGTCGATGAATTCCTGCAGGGAGCGCAGACACACACTTTGACCAGGAGAGTTTGAAGACACTGACGTTTAGGTACAGCAGGACATTAAGGTCTGACTTTTATGGACGGAAGAGACTCATACATTACTGACATGGTTCTACTACTGACAACTTCTAACCAGTTCAGTTCAGTCCAACAGAACTTCCGGCCTTTTTTCCCAATCAAAATAATTGAATTTATTGAAAAACAAAAACAAACAGGTATCTTGTACAAACTAATTTAGGTCAGAATAAAATTGAACAGTAAATTCAGCGTTTTAACCGGAACCATATTGAGATAACTGTAGATTTAGAACTGGGTCCAGAGTGTTGCCGCTCTGGGACACTATTTATACGGACGTTTGACTGGATAAAACTTTGATTAAAGGGAGAGCGGCCCTTCTTCCTCTGCAGCAGCACAACACGTGTTTTTTTTTTGCCACCGTGTTTCTCGACTGTAGTTTCACTTAAACAAAATCAGAAACGGCTTAAAGTAAACCGCGTTCACAAAATCAACAACAACTGTAAATTCACACTCACCTTGGCGGTGGGTACCACCATAATCTTCTTAAAATTATAAAGTGCCATTTTGTCCGGACACGTTGAGGTCCGCTGACACCACGAGAAAAGAGAACCTCCACTTCCGCCACGGCCGGATATTACGCATACTATTGTACCATTCTTCCGAAAAAAAAATAAAATAAAAACACTATATTGTTAAGAATATGTATAGGATTATATGACATAATTAGATTATAATAATTAAAACGATAAAATAACGCGGTTATTTTTTCTACCGCCTATTTCTGTTTGTAAAGAAACGTAGTTTGGTTGTAGAAAGTTAGGGACGGTGGTGAACCAATCAAATAAATAATTCTAATAAATGTTGTAATATATATTATATAAAAAGCTCCGGATGGCTGGCTTGACTATTGAATTGTTGGGTTTATTTATATTGTGCTAATTTGAGAAAGATACCGCACTAATGTTAAATTCTATCGCAGATAATGTTTCATTCTGAACCGTCGCACAGTTCATAAATGTATCCTGTCTTTGATCATGGGCTGAAAACCAAGCTTTGAATTAGAATTCACTTTAGAATTCACTCAAAACAGTGAGAAAACAGTGAAGAAAAACAATTTTTATACTCCATGTTTGTTGTTATTCGTGGTGATAACAGCCAATCAGCAAACGAAGAAGTGTTTTGGCCACGCCCACAGACGACTGATCACGAGTGGCTCCGCGTGCGCACACTTACCTGGGCTGGACCAATCAGGACGACCAACTGTGAGCGTGAGGGAGGGGGAGGGGCTGTGTGTGACAGCTTCAGAGCAGCAACAGCAAAGACCGGATCCACATGAAGATGTCTCACTCTGATCCGGAAACCAGTCCGACTTCAGCCACAGTGTTCCTGTCCTGCACTGACGTCATTTATCATGTCAACGATGATGAAACAGAGAATCCCATTGAATTTTTAAAGGTGTAATGTCACGATTTGTTTTATATTTTATTCTTGCATTTATTTATTTATTATTTTTATCTGAATGACGACTTTAATAACGGTTGATTACTGAAAAATGGCATTTTACATAATTCCCGTTGTCCATGTATTCACCATCTCTCAGCTCAATACTGGTCTACTCTACATTAATCAACTGTTTTTGTCACATAAACAAATTGAGAATAGTTCATATTTAATATTCATATTTAGTGTGACTTCTTATATCAGAATTATTTCATATTTTACAGGACTGTCGTTTTGTACGTCTCATTATATAAAATGGACAACTATTCTATTATTGTTTTGAATGGAAGTAAACGTCTAACTTATAACGTAATTATTGTCATTTAATCCGTTGAAATGTGGAAGTTCTGTCTCAGGAGTCACCATTTTCACAATCTTTAGATTTTATTTTTACTTTATTTACAGAACGTTTAAATTCTGTTTTCAGCAGCCTCATCGTCCGCGTCGACGATCTTTGTGCTGCACACGACAGGGAAAGGAAACAGTTTCTTCTTCTTCTTCTTCCACTTCTTCTCTGTGTCTCTTCTGTCGTTCTTGGAGCTAAAAACGTTTGTTGGTTTCGGACCTTTGGGGTAGACGAGCCGTCACTCCCCGCGTTCTCATTTGTTTTTCCGCTTGTTGGAGCATCTCTCGGCGGACGGAAGCCCCGCTCACCGACGCTTTAGGAAAACGAGGCGCCACATTAATCGAACACGGCTGCGCCAAAACTAGTGCTAGTTAGCAACATAGCTGAGTCTGTGCTGGTCGGAGGGAGCGGTTTGATATTGACATTCATTCTGCAATTATTTTTATTTCCCTTCATTGGTTTAAGTGTTCCTGGAAGGAAAAGTTGTGTCCGGGTTTCAGCACCAGGCGAAGCGTCACTCACGGGACACCTGAAGCCTCGCTGCGGTCAGGTTTGAGCCGGTTGTCGCTGGCTCTGCTGCTAAGTCACACCGCTGCGTATTTACAGGCTGGAAGCCCGTTGACTGGAGGCCCGAGTCCAGCGCCACCATCCGCCGCCACAGTGTTTGCATCGGTCCGCATAGAAAAGTGACAGGTGAGTGGAGACATCACACACACACACGCACACACACATACACACATACACACACAGAGACAGGGCAGCGGTCACACGCCTACATCCAGCTGAGGCTTGTGTGGAGCCAGGCTCGGCGAAAAGGTGACGCAAACACTGGCAGGTGAACTGGGAGACGGTTGTTGATGTTGGTGTGAATCTGCAGAACTGAGAACACGCTGACGAACACGGCTGTGGTCAAATATCGCGGTTTATTGATTGATCGTTACTATAACTCTCTCGTGTTTCCTGCATTGCGTCTTCAGCCGAAGTTGCAGTGATTGCGGTGAAGTGGTTCCAAAAGTCGGAGTGGAGTAGGCTAGGTCGGCGTGAGGCACAAAACAAACGTTTGACGGTTCAAGTCAGTCACATGTTGTCAAGGTTCAGGCCTGGAGGCACAGCACGAGTACCTGGAACTGTTGGAGCCTCTGATCATGTGCGTGTCTCGACTGTACGTTTCCATCATCTTGTCACTTTTCCAATCACAGTTCTCCCGTGACCTACTGCCCCCTAGAGTTGTTTCTTGGTGAAGAGTTCCATGGTTGGACGGTGAAACAGTTCCTGGTGGAGTCACGGTTCCCGACCAGTAAATATGGTCTAAAAGAGTCGGCTGGTTCTGGGGGTTTGGGGCGACCTTGAACCCCTGAAAGAGTTTAAACTGAGATCTAAAACTGTTCGTTAAGAAACTTAAAGTTAACGAAGTCGTATACAGTCGGGCTTCAGATTAAGAACTCCCTGAAATACGAGTTTTCCAAGTTACGACTAAGTAACTTTTGCTGGATTTTCCTTGTGGTACGAGCTCCATTTTTCCACTCAACACTGTGTGGCGCTGTCTCCCTCACTGTCCCTCTCCGGGAAAACAATAACATAAAATGTTTTCATAAATATTATTATTTAATGTTATTAATATATTTGTTTATATCTGTGTTTTTCGTGTTTACATCGGGGGGTAATTGAATGAATTAATGGTGAATTTCTGCAGGGCTGGAACTAATTAATTGATTTTTAATTTTTGATTAAACTGGTGTCTTGAAGCCCCCCCCACAGAACCCCCCCCTCCGTCCTCCACTGTTACACACCAGGAATTTATTCAAAATGCTGCTAAAAATATTTCAAACCCAAACCAGTTTTAGAACCAACACGAGCCTCCTGTGGTTCTAGAAAAAAATAAAAAATACAAATGCCACCACTGGTCCTGGAACCAGAGTTTGAGAACAGCGTGTGAGTGAGTATGTGGTTCAAAGGTCGGCCACTGTATGCTAACACTGGGCCTCTGTCAGAAACAGACGTCTGATTGTTGTGGTCCAGATTATCAGTGCTTTACAAAGGGCCGCGGCAGGACAGGAAGTGAGGTGTTTCTACACACACACACACACACACACACACACACACACACAGAGGGTGAATACAGCCAAACATTTCAAAGATTGTTAAAGTTGAGGATGTTGATGTAAAATCAGGTAGTGGTGGCCAAAGCCTTGGCTCTCGGCCCTCGTGGTGCGCTCCAGGTCAGTACCAGACGGATGGTGAACTAATGATGCGTTGGATGTCCTCAATGTTCTTGGCACCTGGAGGAGGTGCTCAACATCTCACCTGGATCTAAGCTGTGTTGATGTCAAACCTGCAGCCTTTGATTGGACTCCATCAGTGATTGATTTGTTTGTCTTTTTTGTTTATACCACACATGTTCTCCAGCGTGCGGTGACTCAAAACATCATCATTTAGGACTTAAAAATGAAATGAAACCGTTTCATTTTTAAAATTTTTTTTTTTATTTATTTGTTGTGGTTTTCCCCGGCAGCTTACCTGGTGACGCAGAGACTTCTCCCTGAGGAGCCTAGACGCAGACGGCTCATGACTTCTGACCAGGACACAAAAGTCGTCGCTGAACCACAGGTGCAGCAAGTGCAAGAGGCAAAAGAAAACTCTCATTCGGTGAGTGTGGCTTTGAACTCCTCGTCCTGGAGGAAAATGTCTCCAGGTGTCTTCATGTCATGGGTTGAAGTCTTCTGTCCACCAGGGTGTGTGGTTGATACCTGAAGTGTGTGTCTGTGGCCACAGAGATGCTAGAGGTTAGCCTGGTGCTAGCTAAAGAGGCTAAAATTACAGTTAGAAAATGAGCTAAGACTAAAGAACTTTCACAGATGAATAAAAAATGTAAATTGTAAATCTAACCGCGTGGCTCATCAACAGCTAACGGTTAGCCACACACTCTGTGAAAATGACGGTACCTCAGAACTGTTTGGAACTTTTCACCAATGTGTTGTCGATGCGTTGAAGCGTTCAACAGTGAGCTGTAGAATCTGTGTCATCAGCGCTCCATTAGCCGTGCCTGCTGTGCGGAGGTCGGACATTTACCAGGCAGCTGTAAACAAAGCTGACCTGGAGGACCGGGGGTGTGAAGTCACTCAGCTGAGACGGTGGAGCAGCGGAGTTGACACTGACCTAATTATGGACAATTAGACAAGAAAGCTTCATTCCACACAGTCCTGCCCTGATTCACCTGGAGTTGATTTCCACACTTATTATCTGACGGAACACACACACACACACACACGCGCACGCACACGCACACACAGCTCATGTAGGGTCATAACCATGACCTGTTTTCCTTCCTCGGCTCATGAGCCTGGAGTCAGTCTATTGATTATTTTCTTCCTTGTTGAAAACAGAGAGCGTCAGAGGTCAGGGGTCAGAGGTCAGCTCTCAAACGTTTCCAAAGGAACACCAGCTTTGTGCCGAGTCAGGAGCGTTAGCCACTTAGCTGCTAAGACCTGGACAATCACACACACACAGTCAGGACCCTGGTGACTGAGGCAATAAACCAAAGGTGCTTGAATTGACCTGGAGGTCTCCAGGTCTCTGAGTGACAGTTGATTGGCTCTGACCTCGGTTCTTCTTCTTCTTCTTTTTCTTCTTCTTCCTCTTCTTCTTCTTCTTCTTTTCTTTTTCTTCTTTCTCCTCTTTTTCTTCTTCTTTTCTTTTTCTTCTTCCTCCTCTTTTTCTTCTTCTTTTCTTTTTCTTCTTTCTCCTCTTTTTCTTCTTCTTTTCTTTTTCTTCTTCTTTTCTTCTTCTTCTTTTTCTTCTTCTTCCTCTTCTTCTTCTTTTCTTCTTCTTTTCTTTTTCTTCTTCCTCCTCTTTTTCTTCTTCTTTTCTTTTTCTTCTTCCTCCTCTTTTTCTTCTTCTTGTCTTTTTCTTCTTCTTCTTCTTTTCTTTTTCTTCTTTCTCCTCTTTTTCTTCTTCTTTTCTTTTTCTTCTTTCTCCTCTTTTTCTTCTTCTTTTCTTTTTCTTCTTTCTCCTCTTTTTCTTCTTCTTTTCTTTTTCTTCTTCCTCCTCTTTTTCTTCTTCTTGTCTTTTTCTTCTTCTTCTTCTTTTCTTCTTCTTTTCTTTTTCTTCTTCTTTTCTTCTTCTTCTTCTTCTTCTTCTCCTTCTCCTTCTCCTTCTTCTCCAGGAATCAGTCAAGGTTTCAGACCTCAACCCCAATGCCAAGGCATGGGCCAACCACGTGTTTAACCTGGACCCCACTGGGAGCGCTGACACCCCCACTGCTGCCCCGCAGCCATGGAAGGACACCTGCGACAGTTCGGCCGACCCCGGCCCAGAAGGTGAGAGTGGGTGTTGTTGTGTGGAACAACTCGGGGTTCGCGGTTTTCTCTGGTACAGTTTACAAAAAGAAAAAAGAAAACCTCCATTTAACTTTTATTACGAGCTCTTGGTGCCTAAAGTGGGGGGCGTGCCCCTGGAGGAGGTTGAGGGAATGAAGGCATTGAGAGAGAGAGAGAGAAGGACGGTCCCAGTCAGAAGCAGCGTGATTGGCTCACTCTGATATTTGATCACGAGGTTCTTGACAGTTCCAGAGTCGGGAGTGAACATCAAAGCCAGAGACAGCTGGTCAGTTATTTACACCTGGACTGAAGTAGTACCTCCTACTGGTTAGAGACGGTACTACATCAGTTTCATCCGACAAACCAGTGTCTTGAAGGGACAGTTACGCAGAGCTTTGATCATCAAAGCCGACCAGAGAAATCTCAAAACAACAGAGTCGCTGAGTAGAAGTAACAAACACAGACGGTGCAGAGAAACTCTTAGCACCTGCTGCAGGGACTCAGCGACGACACTGAAGGGCTAGCTAACGGTCCCAGTCAGAAGCAGCGACGACACTGACGGGCGAAGTGACGGGACCAGGCGGAAGCAGCGACGACACTGAAGGGCTAGCTAACGGTCCCAGTCAGAAGCAGCGACGACACTGACGGGCGAAGTGACGGGACCAGGCGGAAGCAGCGACGACACTGAAGGGCTAGCTAACGGGACCAGTCAGAAGCAGCGACGACACTGACGGGCGAAGTGACGGGACCAGGCGGAAGCAGCGACGACACTGAAGGGCTAGCTAACGGGACCAGTCAGAAGCAGCGACGACACTGAAGGGCTAGCTAACGGTCCCAGTCAGAAGCAGCGACGACACTGACGGGCGAAGTGACGGGACCAGGCGGAAGCAGCGACGACACTGAAGGGCTAGCTAACGGGACCAGTCAGAAGCAGCGACGACACTGAAGGGCTAGCTAACGGGACCAGTCAGAAGCAGCGACGACACTGAAGGGCTAGCTAACGGGACCAGTCAGAAGCAGCGACGACACTGACGGGCTAGCTAACGGTACCAGTCAGAAGCAGCGACGACACTGAAGGGCTAGCTAACGGGACCAGTCAGAAGCAGCGACGACACTGACGGGCTAGCTAACGGGACCAGTCAGAAGCAGCGACGACACTGACGGGCTAGCTAACGGCGCTACCGTTTGTGTCTCAGACTATGAAGCCTCTGAGGACCAGGCCAATAAGGAGCCTCTGCTGACGGACCCAGATGAGCCGCCGCCAGTGCCAGTGATGCCGGCCCCCGTGACCCCTGTGACCCCCGTGACCCCGGTCAACCTGGAGTGTGGCGAGCCGGTCTTTACAGAGTACCCTGAGTCTGTGCAGCCCGGACACACAGGTCTGTCTGTGTCTGTCTGTCTCTCTGTCTGTCTCTCTCTCTGTCTGTCTCTCTGTCTGTCTCTCTCTCTGTCTGTCTCTCTGTCTGTCTCTCTCTCTTCTCTGTGTTGTTTCAGTGTTAAAACCTAGATGTAATGATCAGACGTTAGCATTGTAGCAGCTAGCTAGGTAACAGGTTAGCCGACAGTGCGGTGACATCATGACTGAATGTTGAAGTGCTCTAACGGGATTGGTCGTCTGTGTGTGAACAGGAAGTGAAGTCCAGCCTGAGAACCCACAGGAGGACCTGAGGGAGCACCTGAAGAAGACGCTGGAGTTCTGTCTTTCCCGGTGAGAACATGACC